GTGGAGGCACTGCTGATTCGGAGGATGAACTTGTAGGCAAGGATCGCTACATAGGATCTATTGAGGGCCTCATAAGAAACAATATTCAGCAATATAAGATAGATATGGCGGATGAGGTAATTAATGCTAGGCGTTTCGATCAAAGAACAACACATGAAGAAAGGCGTTTGACTTTGGAGACATTATTACATGATGAAGAGAGGTATCAAGAAACTATCCATGATGTGCCGTCACTGCAGGAGGTAAATCGCATGATTGCGGCGCGAGGAAGAAGGGAAAAGCGTTTCAAAAGCTGAGGTATTACAACCCGTAAACCTAATCTTCCTCACGTGTCAATTTTCTCTGTGTTTTTTTTTGTTTCATTTTTATTTAATCATTTTTAGTTTTATTTTAATTGAAATAAGTATGCTGAAACTGATGATTGGGTTTTGGGACTGAATGGTTCCATTAGGCCCATTCCCTTTTTTTTTTTAAACATCCTAAAGTTTAGTGTAATTAAAAAACACTTCTGGATTCATTCGTGATCGGGCCTTAGTTTCTCACTATTACCTCTCTACACTCCTGATCCAATTTTGTCCCCATAATCTAACCTTGTACCCTTTTTCTTTCTTTCAATTTTAGTGCTTAAGTTAAGAGTTGATGAATTCTTTTATTATCTTAGTTAGGTTTTCTTAATAACTTTAGTTAATTAGATAATTCCAAATTAACTAGTTTAGCTTTTAAAATAAATTTAGTAAAACTTGTGATTTTAATAGTATTTTAACTTAATTAACTTTTTTTAGTTATTTCATTTAGTTACATTTTCTCGTTTGATTTTCTTTGTCTCTCTAAATTAGTCTCTTATTGATTATCTTGACCTGGTTGTTTCTTATTCTATTGAATTAATTTCCTCGTGATATTTCTTGACTGATGTTGTGATAATTTCGATTTAATGGGTTTCTCTTGTGAATTTTATAGTGTTGATGCTTTAGTATTAATCTTTTTATTATTTATTTGTCAAATCCAAGGGAAAGAAATTAATTTGTTGACTTCATGTCATCGAGTATCTAATACGATTGTGTGAACCCCTTCATACATTTTTAATTTTGTAAATCTTAAGTTAAACCTCCTCAAAACCTAATTTCAAACATACACTCTTTTAAACCAAAACTTCGACACGAGGTCGTCGTATCTTCAAAAATCTCGTCCATACCCATCTTTTAGCCAAACGAATCATTAATCAAACAAACAATTTTAACCAAAAACAGATATTTCAAAAGGTTCCTGCGGAGTACCGCAGATGCATTGGGTGCTAATACCTTCCCCTTGTATAACCAACCCCCGAACTCTCGATCTTTTTCAAAAACGCATTGTATTTTATTACTTTTAAGTATTATTTTACATTGCATATTTTAGGGTTTTATTTCGCTCTTTTCCCTTTTTCCTTGGAAATAATAAAGCGCGATGGCGACTCTTGCTTTTGCGAGTCAAGTTAATTAATAGCTTGATCTCCCATTTTCACCGCTACAGAATTGGCGACTCTGCTGGGGAAAGATTGACCTCTTGCTGGTCCATCCCTAAGTGGGTTAAGCCTAATTTGTTTTATCTGTTTTATCATTATTTGATTGTTTGATTATATGTTATCAACACTTTTAAAAACAGCAAGCGGCAGTCTCTTCATGGACAACTTGTATGTTATCAACACTTTTAAAAACAACAAGCGGCAGTCTCTTCATGGACAACTTGTATGTTATCAACACTTTTAAAAACAGCAAGCGGCAGTCTCTTCATGGACAACTTGTATGTTATCAACACTTTTAAAAACAGCAAGCGGTAGTCTCTTCATGGACAACTTTTATGTTATCAACACTTTTTGAAAACGGCAAGTGGCGGTCTCTTCAGGAGCAGCTTGTACGGAAAATGGCAAGTGGCAGCTTCTTCATGAGCAGCTTATACGTTAGTATTTTTGGAAGACCGCAAGTGGCAGCTTATCTATTTGAGTAACTTGTGTGTTATTGTTCCCTTGAAGACAACAAGTGGCAGCTTCTTTATGAGCAGCTTGTGGGTTTTTGGCAACAAGTGGCAGACTCTTCATGAGCAGCTTGTGTGCTTTGATATTATTTGAAGACAGCAAGTGGCAGCTTCTTTATGAGCAGCTTGTGGGTTTTTGGCAACAAGTGGCGGACTCTTCATGAGCAGCTTGTGTGCTTTAATATTCTTTGAAGACAGCAAGTGGCGGTCTCTTCATGAGCAGCTTGTATGTTATTGACACCTTTGAAAGGAAGCAAGTGGCGGCCTCTTTATTTGAGCAGCTTGTGTATCCCCAATAATAATGTCTACTCAGCAAAATGGCATCCCTTTCGGAAAAGTCCCGTAGGAAGTTTTGTTATTTTATCCTTTTCAAGCGATATCTTGGTTAGAAAAGGGATTGTGTTACCGTTCTCGGTAAAATTCAGAAGTCAGAAATGTTTCTTTTCCAGCCACAATGCTGATGTCAATCATTTTGTTTTCCAGCCACAGTGCTGATGTCAATCATTTTGTTTTCCAGCCACAGTGCTGATGTTAATCATTTTGTTTTCCAGCCACAGTGCTGATGTCAATCATTTTGTTTTCCAGCCACAGTGTTGATGTCAATCATTTTGTTTTTCAGTCATAGTGTTAATGTCAATCATTTCCTTTTCCAGTCACAGTGCTGATGTAAATCATTTTCTTTTCCAGTTTCAACACTGATGTAAATCATTCAAGAGTCTCTCATTTGAAGTCTATGACTTTTGTTTCCCCAGTGGAATTATAATCTCTTCCCTTGTGGGATTGCTGTATAATATGCTTGGTTTCTCCAGCATAGTCTGTCTCATATGGCGTCATTCCCCATAAAATTCAGAGCATTACATTCATATCATATCATGAACATAATCGCGGTATCTTAAGGCTAAAAATTGTGTATTCTATATTTAAGTCCCTTCAATCTCGTCGAAATGAAGATCCCAATCTTCATATCTCCAGATAGAAGAAACTTAAATAGGGGGAGCTGTTGTACCCCAATTTTTGACCTAAGATCCCATTTTTATTTTTGCATTTTTAAAGATAAGTCAAGGTCACTAAATATGGTCGGTTTTAACCTCTCACCTTCGAGCATTGGCTATGCAGAAATTGTCAAGTATTTTAAACATTCTTAGCCTATGTATCATTAACTTCTACTCCAGCATGTGTATTTTTCGTTTCTTTGATTTCATTTGCAGGAAACAGATCTGAATCAAGAGCATCAGGCGTCACACCTCAATTAGGGTTCAGAATCTCAAGCCAGAAGTACAGTTAATCGTTGATTCGTGAATACTGATTCATCAGGAGGATCGTGCGTTTATTTCCACGCCTTGTTCGACAAGTGGTCTCAAGCTTCTCCAAAAATTCCCCCAAAGCACAATCAAGATTTCATCATCACTGGTTTACATGTGTATCAAGATGCTTTAGAAGGCGAAGAAAGATCAAGTTTGCAAGTCGATTTAAAGCATTTCGACCAAAAGTCAACTCCTGCAAGTTCAATTTCAAACGGTCATAACTTCTTCAATTTTCAACGTCTTGAGGCGATTATTTTGCAAAGTATCACAAATAGCGTTGTTTATGAGATTACTTCAAAGATTAAGGCGCAAGTCATGCCACAGACGTTTTCTCAAGAACGTTTGATTTTCCTATTGGGATAATTCATGAAACTGGAGTTTTGGTCCAATGATTCTTTGATGATTGTGGACTACTTCAAGTCATTTTGCAATTGAACAGTAGCGATCATTAGATTAAGGTGGATTTTCGATTAAATTTCTTAAAGGCACGATTTGCACCATTTGTCTGTATTGCAAATTACTATGAGGCGAAGACGCGAGTTAGGGTTGAGAATTCTTCAAATTCTTGTGGTTTGCATGCTAACTTGGATTTGAGATTCGAATCAAGATTGGATTCATTGTTGTGAAGTTTTCTTTCAAATAACCAATGCCATAAAGCCAATATATCCAAGTTTGTCAAATAACATTAGGGTTCTTATTTGCAAGAGAGATTCAAGAAGGTTCATGAATTTGATGTCTTGAGTAAGATGCATTCCAATTTCTCGAGGTTTATTTCAAGAGTGCAAGTTCGTTAATGTGAATTGTTCCAAATATCAAGAATTATTCAAGACCTTTCTCAAAATTCAACTTCATTAATCATTCATGCATTTCAAATTCCAAGACAAATTTCGACACAAATTTTAATTGGAATCAAATTGTGTGTCAATTCGGACTAGAGATTAAATTAAGAGAGCAAGATCATTTGGTGTAGAATTTATTCAAGATTTTCATTCAAAATTCGTACTTTCATTCATATGAATTCAAGAGGTTACAAAATACTTCCATTACAAAATCATCACCATTTATACTTTATTGTTACATAAAAAACATGCCAAAATAACACAAACAAAGACCATCCTCCTTGTATGCTTTATGCAGAATTTGCCATGCTTGGATAAGTCTTGTTGTTCTATTAATGATGCCAAAAATTGTCACAAAACAGGCCAAACTTCTCATTAAAACAATCCCAAAACTCTGTAAAATCTGCCAAATTTCCAGCCATGCTACAACACACAAATTTGTCCAAAATATTATTTTCCATTCTGCATATCATCCCTGCAAAAGACAGATTGAAATTTGCATAATACACCAAGCAAATCAGTCCAAACAGAAACCTACCAATAGTCCAAAACCTGCTATACTGCCATGCCCAAGTCTGTCCATAAAGCCTGCAATGCTACCCCTGCACCAACATAGAACCAGTCCAAAATTTACAATAAAAAGGCACCACAAAAACTGCAGCAAAAAGGGTCAGATGAGTACACCATAATTGTTCATTATAGCTCATGTTTTCCCTCCATTTTTGGGGGGACTCACCTTTACTGATTCAAAAAGAAGGTCCTACTCAAAAATGCAGAGGACGATTGGCTTGAGACAGAGAAGAAAGTCATCACAATCCATCGACTTCATCAGATTCTTGAGCCTTTCATGCTCAGGCGCCATGTTGAAGATGTTGAAGGCTCACTACCCCCAAAGGACTCCATAGTTTTACGATGTAAAATGTCATCTGTCCAGAGTGCTATTTACGACTGGGTCAAATCAACTGGTACTCTTCGTCTTGATCCCGAGGATGAGGAACGCAAGCTTCAGAGGAATCCGAACTACCCGGTGAAACAATATAAAACTTTAAACAACAGATGCATGGAGTTGCGGAAAACATGCAATCATCAGTTGCTTAATTATCCATTCTTTAGTGACTTATCTAAAAAATTCATTGTAAAATCTTGTGGAAAATTGTGGATCCTGGATAGGATCCTCATAAAACTTCAAAGAACTGGACATCGTGTTCTACTTTTCAGTACCATGACAAAACTTCTTGACATCTTGGAAGAATACCTGTAGTGGCGAAGACTCGTGTACAGAAGAATTGATGGGACAACTAGTTTGGAAGACCGTGAATCATCTATAAATGACTTCAATGGCCCTGATTCAGACTGTTTCATCTTCTTGCTTAGCATTCGAGCCGCTGGGAAAGGCCTTAACCTTCAGTCTGCTGACACAGTTGTTATTTGTGATCCTGATCCAAATCCTAAAAACGAGGAGCAGGCTGTTGCCAGAGCTCATCGTATTGGACAGAAAAGACCGGTCAAGGTTATCTACATGGAAGCAGTTGTTGACAAAATCCCTAGTCCTCAGAAGGAAGATGAAATGAGAGGTGGAGGCACTGCTGATTCAGAGGATGAACTTGTAGGCAAGGATCGCTACATAGGATCTATTGAGGGCCTCATAAGAAATAATATTCAGCAATATAAGATAGATATGGCGGATGAGGTAATTAATGTTGGGCGTTTCGATCAAAGAACAACACATGAAGAAAGGCGTTTGACTTTGGTGACATTATTACATGATAAAGAGAGGTATCAAGAAACTATCCATGATGTGCCGTCACTGCAGGAGGTAAATCGCATGATTACGGCGCGAGGAAGAAGGGAGAAGCGTTTCAAAAGATGAGGTATTACAACCCGTAAACCTAATCTTCCTCACGTGTCAATTTTCTCTGTGTTTTTTTTGTTTCATTTTTATTTAATCATTTTTAGTTTTATTTTAATTGAAATAAGTATGCTGAAACTGATGATTGGGTTTTGGGACTGAATGGTTCCATTAGGCCCATTCCCTTTTATTTTTTTTAAACATCCTAAAGTTTAGTGTAATTAAAAAACACTTCTGGATTCATTCGTGATCGGGCCTTAGTTTCTCACTATTACCTCTCTACACTCATGATCCAATTTTTTCCCCATAATCTAACCTTGTAACCTTTTTCTTTCTTTAAATTTTAGTGCTTAAGTTAAGAGTTGATGAATTCTTTTATTATCTTAGTTAGGTTTTCTTAATAACTTTAGTTAATTAGATAATTCCAAATTAACTAGTTTAGCTTTTAAAATAAATTTAGTAAAACTTGTGATTTTAATAGTATTTTAACTTAATTAACTTTTTTTAGTTATTTCATTTAGTTACATTTTCTCGTTTGATTTTCTTTGTCTCTCTAAATTAGTCTCTTATTGATTATCTTGACCTGGTTGTTTCTTATTCTATTGAATTAATTTCCTCGTGATATTTCTTGACTGATGTTGTGATAATTTCGATTTAATGGGTTTCTCTTGTGAATTTTATAGTGCTGATGCTTTAGGATTAATCTTTTTATTATTTATTTGTCAAATCCAAGGGAAAGAAATTAATTTGTTGACTTCATGTCATCGAGTATCTAATACGATTGTGTGAACCCCTTCATACATTTTTAATTTTATAAATCTTAAGTTAAATCTCCTCAAAACATAATTTCAAACATATACTCTTTTAAACCAAAACTTCGACACGAGGTCGTCGTATCTTCAAAAATCTCGTCCATACCCATCTTTTAGCCAAACGAATCATTAATCAAACAAACAATTTTAACCAAAAATAGATATTTCAAAAGGTTCCTGCGGAGTACCGCAGATGCATTGGGTGCTAATACCTTCCCCTTGTATAACCAACCCCCGAACTCTCGATCTTTTTCAAAAACGCATTGTATTTTATTACTTTTAAGTATTATTTTACATTGCATATTTTAGGGTTTTATTTCGCTCTTTTCCCTTTTCCCTTGGAAATAATAAAGCGCGGTGGCGACTCTTGCTTTTGCGAGTTAAGTTAATTAATAGCTTGATCTCCGATTTTCACCGCTACAGTTAGTGATTGAGATGTTTTAATATGATGGATGGTAGTCTCGTCATTATGGGAGATAGTTTGTTGTTGTGATTTTTTACTCTGATGGATGGTAGTCTCGTCATTATGGGAGATAGTTAGTTGTTTAGATGTTTGACTCCAAGGTATGGTAGTCTCATCATTATGCGGGAAAGATCGTTGTTGAGGTTTTAGTCCGATGGATAGTAGTGTTATCATTATGGGAGACATTTCGTTGTTGAGATGTTTTACTCTGATGGATGGTAGTCTCTTCATTATGGGAGATAGTTCTTTGTTGAGGTTTCACTCTGATGATTGGTAGTATCGTCATTATGGGAGATAGTTTGTTGTCGAGATGTTTTACTCTGATCGACGGTAGTCTCGTCATTATGGGAGATAGTTAGTGATTGAGATGTTTTTCTTTGATGGATGGTAATCTCGTCATTACGGGAGATAGTTTATTGTTGAGATGTTTTACTTCGATGGATGGTAGTCTCGTAATTATGGGAGATAGTTAGTTGTTTAGATGTTTGACTCCAAGGTATGATAGTCTCATCATTACGGGGGACAGATCGTTGTTGAGGTTTTACTCCGATAGATAGTAGTGTTATCATTATGGGAGACAGTTCGTTGTTGAGATGTTTTACTCTGATGGATGGTAGTCTCTTCATTATGGGAGATAATTCGTTGTTGAGTTTTCACTGTGATAATTGGTAGTCTCATTTTTATGAGAGATAGTTCGTTGTCGAGATGTTTTACTCTAATGGTTGGTAGTCTCGTCATTATGGGAGATAATTAGTGATTGAGATGTTTTAATATGATGGATGGTAGTCTCGTCATTAAGGGAGATAGTTTGTTGTTTAGATGTTTTACTCTGATGTATGGTAGTCTCATAATTATGGGAAATAGTTAGTTGTTTGGTTATTTTACACCGATGGATGGTAGTATCTTCATTGTTGGATATAATTCGTTGTTTATGTTTTACATGGATGGATGGTAGTCTCGTCATAATGGGAGATAGTTCGTTGTCGAGATGTTTTACTCTGATGGATGGTAGTCTCATTATTATGGGAGATAGTTCATTGTTGAGATGTTTTACTCTGATGGATGGCAGTCTCATCATTATGGGAGATAGTTCGTTGTTGAGATGATTTACTCCGATGGATGGTAGTCTCATCATTATGGGAGATAATTCATTGTTGAGATGTTTTACTCTGATCGATTGTAGTCTCTTTATTATGGGAGTTAGTTTGTTATAGAGGTTTTACTCCGATTGATGGTAGTTTTGTCATCATGGTAGATAGTTTGTTGTTGAAATGTTTTACTCTGATGGATGATAGGCTATTCATTATGGGAAATAGTTTGTTGTTGAGGTTTTACTCCAATGGATGGTAGTCTCATTATTATAGGAGATAAATCATTATTGAGATGTTTTACTCCGATGGATGATAGTCTCTTTGTTACGGGAGACACATCATTGTTGAGGTTTTACTCCTACAGATAGTAGTCTTAACATTATAGGAGACAATTGGTTGTTGAGATGTTTTACTCTGACGGATGTTAGTCTCGTCATTATGGGAGATAGTTAGTCATTGGTATATTTTAATCTAATGGATGGTAGTCTCGTCATTATGGGAGATAGTTTGTTGTTGAGATGTTATACTTCGATGGATGGTAGTCTCGTCATTATGGGAGCTATTTAGTTGTTTAGATGTTTTACTTCAATGTATGGTAGTCTCTTCATTACGGGAGACATATCGTTGTTGAGGTTTTACTCCGATGGATAGTAGTCTTATCATTATGTGAGACAGTTTGTTATTGAGATGTTTTAGTCTGATGGATGGTAGTCTTTTCATTATGGGAGATAGTTCATTGTTGAGGTTTCACTCCGATAATTGGTAGTTTTGTCATTATGGGAGATAGTTTTTTGTCGAGATGTTTTACTCTGATGGATGGTAGTCTCGTCATTATGGGAGATAACTAGTGATTGAGATGTTTTTCTCTGATTGATGGTAGTCTCTTCATTACGGGAGATAGTTTGTTGTTGAGTTGTTTTACTCCGATGGATGGTAGTCTCGTCATTCTAGGATATTGTTAGTTGTTTAGATGTTTTACACTGATGGGTGGTAGTATCTTCATTGGTTGAGATAATTGGTTGTTGAGGTTTTACTCTGATGGAAGGTAGTCTCGTCATTATGGGAGATAGTTTGTAGTTGAAATGTTTTACTTTAATGGATGGTAGTATCTTCATTATGGGAAATAGTTCGTTTTTAAGGTTTTACTCTGATGGATGTTAGTCTGGTGATTGAAGGATACAAATCATTGTTGAGATGTTTTACTCCGATGGATGGTAGTCTCTTTGTTATGGGAGACACAATGTTGTTGAGGTTTTACTCCGACGAATAGTAGTCTTATCATTATGGGAGACAGTTTGTTGTTGAGATGTTTTACTCTGATGGATGTTAGTCTCGTCATTATGGGAGATAGTTAGTGATTGGTATATTTTAATCTAATGGATGGTAGTCTCGTCATTATGGGAGATAGTTTGTTGTTGAGATGTTATACCCTGATGGATGGTAGTCTCGTCATTATGGGAGCTATTTAGTTGTTTAGATGTTTTACTTAAATGTATGGTAGTCTCTTCATTACGGGAAACAGATCGTTGTTGAGGTTTTACTCCGATAGATAGTAGTCTTATCATTATGGGAGACAGTTTGTTATTGACATGTTTTAGTCTGATGGATGGTAGTCTTTTCATTATGTGAGATAGTTCATTGTTGAGGTTTCACTCCGATAATTGGTAGTCTGGTCATTATGGGAGATAGTTTGTTGTCGAGATGTTTTACTCTGATCGATGGTAGTCTCGTCATTATGGGAGATAGCTAGTGATTGAGATGTTTTTCTCTGATTGATGGTAGTCTATTCATTACGGGAGATAGTTTGTTGTTGAGTTGTTTTACTCCGATGGATGGTAGTCTCGTCATTCTAGGATATTGTTAGTTATTTAGATGTTTTACACTGATGGGTGGTAGTATCTTCATTGTTGGAGATAATTTGTTGTTGAGGTTTTACTCTGATGGAAGGTAGTCTCGTCATTATGGGAGATAGTTTGTTATTGAAATGTTTTACTCTGATGGATGGTAGTATCTTCATTACAGGAAATAGTTCGTTTTTAAGGTTTTACTCTGATGGATGTTAGTCTCGTGATTGAAGGATACAAATCATTGTTGAGATGTTTTACTTCGATGGATGGTAGTCTCTTCGTTATGGGAGACACAACGTTGTTGAGGTTTTACTCCGACGGATAGTAGTCTTATCATTATGGGAGACAGTTGGTTGTTGAGATGTTTTACTCTGATGGATGTTAGTCTCGTCATTATGGGAGATAGTTAGTGATTGAGATATTTTACTCTAATGGATGGTAGTCTCGTCATTATGGGATATAGTTTGTTGTTGAGATGTTATACTCCGATGGATGGTAGTCTCGTCATTATGGGATATAGTTAGTTGTTTAGATGTTTGACTCCAAAGTATGGTAGTCTCATCATTACGGGGGACATATCGTTGTTAAGGTTTTACACCGATGGATAGTAGTCTTATAATTATGGGAGACACGTCATTGTTGAGATGTTTTACTCTGATGGACGGTAGTCTCTCCATTATGGGAGATAGTTCGTTGTCTATGTTTTACTCTGATAATTGGTAGTCTCGTCATTATGGGAGATAGTTCGTTGTCGAGATGTTTTACTCTGATGGATGGTAGTCTCGTCATTATGGGAGTTATTTAGTGA